GAAACTCAATGATACTGTATTGAAGTTCCTTTGTTCAAAATACAGAAAGGCCTACATATATTTATATTTTTAAATTTATATTGATTGACTTTGCATGGTACAGAAATAACTTAAGATTTATGTATTTTTTCGCCCCGCATGGTTGTTTTGAATACATGAAGTACACGCGGTACGTGTTGAAATAGTTTGACATGTCAAGTTGCAGAATTTGGCATCGATGCAAGGCACTGGAATAATGCTTCACAAAAAGTGTTCTTTTCCGTTAGGGTACAGGTTCATACAGTGGCGTACGCAGGATTTTTTTCAAGGGGGGGGGGTCAAAATAAAAAGGGGGGGTTTTCCAAAAAAACATACATAAAACATACACATAAAAAAAACTCGAGGGGGGGGGGGGGTTAACCCCAAAACCACCCCCTGCGTACGCGCCTGGGTTCATAAGCGCCGGAAGCGGGGTTTACAGGGGGTAAAATGCATTTTCGCGCCCCCCTCCCCCCCCCCCCCCAAAAAAAAAAAAGAAGAAAAAAAAAACGCCCCCGATAAAAAAAAATAATAAGCAATAAAGGAGTAAAAATGGTTTGTAAAAGAAAATAATAAAACATGAATTGAATCACATAAAAATTATATTCCATTCAAAGAAAAGGAGAGCAAACAGGAATTAAATTGTCTCACTTTTTTGAAAAAGTATGTTAAAGAGAAAAAGAAAGAAAGAGAGAAAGAAATGAGTTATCAAAATATGCTCATCTGACCATAATTAAATGCCTAAAACCCCTGAGCTTCATGGGGCTCAACCCCCTGGACCCCACGCCAATTATTGACCTGCCAGTGTCACAAATAAGGTATCTAAATATGCTTATCTGACCGTAATTAATGCCTAAAACCCCCTGAGCTCCGCCCCAGGACCCCACGCCAATTTATGCTCCACTCGCTTCGCTCACTACACTCTACCTGATCTTTTATTTATTTTTTATTTATTTATTTCGCATATTTATACAGGGTATCTCATTCAAATTAAAAACTGGTCTTCCATAAAGCCCTGTCTCAATTAAAATACACATATATATACAAATTCTCAAAACAAAATCATACATATAACTACAGTAGGAAGAAAAAGACAACAAATTGAAATAAATAAAGCATATAAACATCAAAGCACAATGATAAACAAGTAAAACCAGTGGCGGATCCAGGATTTGCCGATAGGAGGGGGGGGGGGCCTAAACTTTGAAAATCGCGCCGACCAAAATTTCGTCCACTTTTTGAGAGAAAATTTGAGAGAAAATTTCGCAACGACTTAGCCGGCCGCTGAATAAGTGGGGGGGGGGGGAGTGAGCATTATTCTTTTTCTTCATTTTTGCCCTCGGGAATTCGCTTTTTCGCTGAGTGGGGGGGGGGGGTAGTGTGGGCACTAACTACAACAAATTATATAAAAAAGACCTTTTTTAATCTTTTTTTAAAATAATAATTAAAAAATAGGCCAGGTGGGGCGGGCCCGTCGCGCCCCCCCCTCCCCCCCCCCCCCCCCCGTGGATCCGCGCCTGAGTAAGACTAAAAATATGAAATAAGTTACGATAAAAAAAAAAAAAACCTGATCTTTCATGTTGCCTTGCTTTGTAAAAATACAAATAGATATGCAAAATCTTTACATATTTAATAAAATGAGAGAAAAAAAAATAGAGTATAACATCAAATACGACAACAAATATATATAGTAAAGGTAAGACCATATTAAAGGTAAATAATGATACAATATAAGAATTTAAAATTACCTTTGTATTAAAAAACAGGAAGTGAGACACCACTCATATAATATTGTAAAAGGGCAAGAAAGGTCAGATTTTACAATGTTCTGCAAGAAAGAGGATTCATGATAAAAATGACAGAGAACCTATAAATCTCCCAGATCCAATTTAGTAGATACACATTTAAAATGAGTTTGAGAAGAAAAAAAATAATACTCGGCCACTTTGCAAAACTTTTCGCGGGTGTGCATGTAACGTAAAAGTGGTGGTGATGCAGATTTGTATTCTGCCCTCCAAATATTTTTGCTCATTACGCCACTGCCCCGGAAAGGTGAGCCGCCCGGTAATGTTTGCCCCCTACACCCCCCCCCCCCCAATCCTGCCTTGGACCATCGCCCATGTAGATGATAAAAGAACATTTCTCTCCATCTACGAGGCGATATTTACGGCCAACGACATGCAGCAGCACAATCATAATTCGTGCATATAAAAAAGGCATGCATCGTTTACTAGATTGTGCTTCCTCGGTACAGTTTCGGTCCCTTTCTTGTATTTTTTTAGACAATGTTGTGTCCGGGACTCCGGGATCTTCTCAGCTGGGTGACATAAAATAAATTGTCTCAACTCAAACACAACAGAAGTACAACTTGTCATTTAGTTATGATCATTTTCTAATTTGTTTTGAAATTAAAACCAACCATTTAACACAGCACAAGATGTTTCAGTAAGTCATGTGTATGCATGCTGTGCATCATGACATATCTTGGAACTAATTCAAAATGTTGTGAATTATGGTTAAAAGGTTTGTCACATTACTGTTCTTTTTGGATTTATAGCACGTAATGTGGGTTACTTGTACAATATTTGATGTTTGTATTAAAATGAGCAAGATAAAGGCCTATGGCTATATACTATATGAGCTGGAAAAAATGTGACGCGAGTTTCGTTGGCCTAAGAGCCCAGGGGTCTCGTGTAGAAATAATATAAGCATGCGTGACCACAGGTTTTGCACACACCCCTAAGCGAGGATTCCTTCGGAAGCCAAAATTCACCCTAACTTTTGGATTTCGCGTGTTTTTTTGACCGAATTCGCACTCTAAACGGGTACTAATATTTCAAAAACGTAAACTCCTAACCAAGTATTGTAATGTTGTAACTCCTTGAGCATTTTGAAGTGCGATAGGGATTACCATTTAAGTTGTTGGCAATGTAAAATATATCAAATTGAGCTTCTGATGTAAAATTCACAACGTAAAAAAATATTTCAAAGAGAAGCAATATTAACATCAACCTGTACACTTCCAAATTGGTTTAATATGCACAGCGATCACGGTGATACTAACGGAATACAGATTTTCTACAATATTTACTTGTACATTTTGAAGGATTATATGCGAGGGAGCAAACTGTTTCACATGTGTATTATAGGCAATGACGAGCTTGCAACCTATTTTGATCAAATTACGGTGGGTGAACTTTCAAAAGTCAACGGGACATGAGGGTTCCAATGAAAGAGCTAGTGATAACGTACGTCGGGGTGGATGTGCTTCTCGTTTAAATAAAAAATGAATTTTAAACGATTTTTTTGTTGTTGTAACATTCCATAGGCTAACATGTTAGGCTGCTGACTCTGACGATAGGGGGCGTTGTGAAATGAGACTAAACGGAGCAATATGTATTCACTTCTGAACAACAACAGCAATAATGGCCTGCATCATGGATCTGTATGCATGCATTATTAGTATTTTACGACACATGTTAGGTTATTACGCCATTTCGGATGTGCTTTCAAGGAATGATGGTGCAATTTCCAATTCAAATTTAACTTTATTCGTGATTAAAACAACAGCAATACTCAGCCCACACACATATCACTTAGGTTTCCCGCTTTATAGTAACATGTTCCAATGATCACGACAAACCTTGTAGACCTAGGCCCCTGCTTGTAATGAATATCAAATCAAAATTAATGTCATATATGTATGGGGTGGTGGCTAGGGAATGCTAATTATTTCGGTCAAATAATCATCAGACCCATTATATTTTTTAGCTGATAAACTCTTATAAAATGCAATCTCTCCCTGGTTCGATAAACACTGACTCCATTTTTATTTTACTTCAATTAAATAGAATTTATTATCCAGTTATTATCATGGTACCTGCCATTTCATTTGCGATGAATTTAGTTTTATCTATTTGAAAATATTTAATTTTCATTCGCCAATTACAATACATGACTGTGAACTAAAATAAACACTGAAAGTAATGTACCTTATAAACAGAATAACCAATGAAAGAAGACTGTTGCCACTTATAGTATACTAAGGATTGCATTTGACAAATACTCTGTAGTTATTTTATTTGTCGAGTACGTGGAATGATATCATACGTACACTTTTAGAATATTTTTTGGGGGCACATGCCCACATTTTCTCCATTTATTCATACATATTATTACATCAATTCTACCAAAAATAGGTTTAAAGTCTCAACAGAATAGCATCTTCACTGTTGGACCGAAGGGTAGAGAAGCTATTCCTTCTGACAACAACAAAAAACAGTTATTAAAAAAAAATTGCCATACTTAGTTTAGGAGATCTCTTGAATTAAAACGAAATAATTCTCGCTACCCTAAATAGGTACGAAAATCTCGAAATTCGCGAGACGAGGTAATTTTCACTCTCTCGGGTCGTCACTACAACTTCCGGTATAGAGTCCCATCCCAAGTCACGGCCTTCATCCACCCCCATTTTTCAGGGTTCTTACGCTTGGAATCATGAGCCCAGCACTGTGCAGCCTCACAAAAGAAAACCATCGTCACTGATGTCAAAAGACGCAAAAAACAACGAATGAAATGTTCAAATAAACGTTGAAATATTTGCGAAAAAAAAAACAAGACCGAGCAGACGACATATTCGGTGCATACACGTTGTGTGGCGACGGCGTTTTACGTTTGCGCTATCGCGCCGCCTGCACAGGAAGCTGTAATGTCGAAAAGCTATCCCATAATGCAATGCGCGTTTTCAGGATTTTCCCCGGATCTCGGCAGAATCGCTATTTGGGGTAGCGAGAATTGCTGACTGGCTCCCGAAAATATGGTGACCACCCCACCCCCTCCATGACCCCAGCGCGCCTTAAGTGGAGGGCACATGCTAAACCACTGGTCTATTCGATCTCGCACAATTATGCTGATTAGTTTGAATTGCGGAATAAGAACGAATAAATATAATAATTAATTTTTCTTTTCTTTTCTTCACTCAGCGTGAATGTATCTCAGTCCATGTCGGCCAAGCCGGAGTCCAGATGGGCAATGCTTGCTGGGAGCTCTACTGCCTGGAGCACGGGATCGGCAAGGATGGCCAGATGCCCTCAGATGATAAATCTGTGGGAGGGGGCGACGACTCCTTCAACACCTTCTTCAGTGAGACTGGAGCTGGCAAGCACGTGCCCCGTGCCGTCTTCGTCGATCTTGAGCCAACCGTAGTTGGTAAGGTTACGATTTTTTTTGTTTACAAGCAAAATGGTAAAATGAATTTGCAGTAGGGTATCCAGAATTGATGGGTCAGAGTTTTGGTTGAGCCTGGGTTGTACGGTGACAACTTTGCCTGTCGTTGACCTATTACATTTTTTGTTGGGGGGGGCAATAAAGGGGGAGGGGCTTATGCTTGCCTCATCCTATGACGAATACACGACTGTACGTAACAGGCAATGACTTGTTAATGGATGAATAATTCATTGACATTTGAATGAACGCACCTTTAATATTTTCTTAGTTGATACGAAATTGGAAAAACAAATCAGTCTAGAATAGTTCTTTAATAGTATCACTATGATATACACACCGGGTTGAACATCTTTCTTTTTTTTAAATGTAATTTGAAAATGAAGAAGAAGAAAAAACTACCATAATGGTAGGTCTTACGAGGCTAATAGGAATCGCAACCCTTCAAAGAAAAGCATGAAGAGCTGAAGTTTCATACATTATTAAAAAGTAATCTAATCTAATACACTGTTGGTCATAATGGTTAATATTTTTTCCCCCGATTTATTCCTACTAGATCTAGATAATAGTATACATTCTCAGATTTTATTGAATAATAGTTTATGAGTGTTTGTTTTGCGTGACTGCTAAAACATGTGTATGCTACTATGCTAATCTATTAGGGGACCTACGTCCTTAAGTCATAACTGACAATAATGAGGAATAATGCCTCAAAAAGGGCACTAATAAAGCATATCGACACGGTTTTGATCTGGGGGCTCACAGTAACGAGGTCATTGCTTAGCCACTGAATCATGACTGTACGCAGCGGGGGCTAGGCTACGTCGCCGCCCCCACATATACAAAAAAAAAAAGAAAATGCAATAATTTTTCAATAAATCATTGCATGTTGCCCCGACCCCCAAGATAATAATTGAAAATATATTGTATTTTCTTTGTATTTTTCTTCTTCATAATTGTATGTACGAAATCATTATTCCCTTTTTTTTGTCTTTATAGATGAGGTCCGTACCGGCGCTTATCGCCAACTGTTCCACCCTGAGCAGATTATAAACGGCAAGGAGGATGCAGCCAACAACTACGCCCGAGGTCACTACACCGTGGGAAAGGAAATAATCGATATTGTTCTCGACCGAATCAGGAAACTTTCTGATCAATGCACCGGTTTACAAGGCTTCCTCATCTTCCACAGCTTTGGTGGCGGCACCGGCTCTGGCTTCACTTCACTCCTGATGGAGCGCCTGTCCGTTGACTACGGAAAGAAGTCCAAGCTCGAGTTTGCCGTCTACCCCGCGCCGCAGATATCGACTGCTGTGGTCGAGCCGTACAACGCTGTCCTGACTACGCATACCACTCTGGAGCATTCCGACTGCGCATTCATGGTCGACAACGAAGCCATCTACGACATTTGTCGCCGGAATCTGGACATCGAGCGTCCAAGCTACACTAACCTCAACCGACTGATTGGTCAGATTGTGTCGTCCATCACCGCTTCTCTGCGATTCGATGGCGCCCTCAATGTTGATCTGACAGAATTTCAGACCAACTTGGTGCCCTATCCCCGTATTCATTTCCCTCTGGCCACCTATGCTCCGGTCATCTCTGCCGAGAAGGCGTACCACGAGCAGTTGACTGTTGCTGAGATCACCAACGCCTGCTTCGAGCCCTCCAACCAGATGGTAAAGTGCGATCCCAGACAAGGCAAGTACATGGCCTGCTGTCTCCTGTACCGTGGTGATGTCGTCCCAAAGGATGTTAATTCCGCCATCGCAACCATCAAGACCAAACGTAACATCCAATTCGTCGACTGGTGTCCAACTGGCTTCAAGGTCGGTATCAACTACCAGCCACCCACCGCCGTCCCTGGTGGTGATCTTGCCAAGGTTCAGCGTGCCGTCTGCATGTTGTCGAACACGACTGCGATCGCTGTCGCTTGGGCCCGTCTGGACCACAAGTTCGACCTGATGTACGCCAAACGAGCCTTTGTCCACTGGTATGTTGGTGAAGGGATGGAGGAAGGTGAATTTGCTGAAGCTAGGGAAGATTTAGCTGCACTGGAAAAGGACTACGAGGAGGTTGGTGTCGATTCTATCCTCGAAGAAAACGAAGATGCCAACAAAGAGGAATTTTAGATAAGAAAGTGAGGTTGCAAAGCATTCTGTCAGGCCACAAATCTGGAAGGCAATGTGTTTAAACCTAGCAAGCATCTTCTGAAACAACTTTTATTGTGGACATTACGCGTAATATAAGCTATGAGTGTGTAAGCCTGTGAATATATAATTGTTCGTCTTGCTAGTAAGCGTGAGTTTGTCAAAGTATTAAGTGGTATGGCAGTAATCTTCAGTTTTGTTCAGGGGTAATTTGTAAGTACAGCTAATCACATGTTAGTTGTTGGAGGAATACTGGAATCTCCGGTTTAGACACGGAGTGGTGAATTTAGAGATAAACAATCACAGCAACGGAAATAAAATGCAAAGGGGGAGCTAATAGTACTACGACTAGCTGCGTGTTATAGAGGAAAAAGAGGCTTTGAAAAGAGCAACATATCAGTATGATCAAGACTCATTGTATTACCTACCTGGTACCATTATAATGTGAACGACAAATTGTCGTTTATCGAAATGGTAATACAAAATGACAAAATATTTCCTCAGTCCTTTGCCGGTAAACTATGATGATTTAAATCAAACGAAGTATTGTGGTTTTATCGGAATTGAATATATAGATTTAAAAGTTCTAACATGTACAGGTGCTAACGATGAACAAAGCTTGTATAGATTATGATAACTGAATACTTAAGACATCAGGAATTACTTTGAGACGTTGTGCAGTGAAGACTCAACAACATTTACGTTTTGGATATTGCTATGTTGTGTAGTGTATGAAGTTAATATGATAATTGTATCCTTATTTTTATTTATTTTTAATATTTCTGTTTGAGTTCGACGCAGATGAAATAATTTTTATGGTAATCTAGGAATTATGGCAAAAAACAACTCTTGATCAAAATTTCTTGCCAACATGCATTTTTAGAAATAACTGCATTTGGAAGTAGACATATTCATAATTATGGCGCATTGAAAGACGTTTTTATTTGATAATATCAATTTGTGAACTTCATTCATATGCGTAAAGAATAAGACAATATTGTGCATTATATATTTGCCAAAAGAATCAAAATTTCGTTTCTCTCATAGGCCAATATATGAGGAGAACAAAATACTAAAACAAACGATCAAAGCATAATCGGCGACCAACATCTGGTTGAATAGTAAATTTGTAAAAACAAATTTGATTTGTAGAAAAATAATAAATGCTTTTATATGATTTTATGCCAATGAATTTTCAAAGTGTTATATATTTCGCGTGTATTCAGTCTCTTATTATTGAAGAGTGCCCCGTTCCCAGAATGTAGTTGGATTATGGATATTTGCCAAACCACCATATACGTATATCAGTTCATCAATAGCAATATAGTGCTATTGTCATGGATAGGTGGCGGCACGTAAACATTTTCTTTAAAATTTTTGGTTTCTGGTAAGGGTATAAAATATTTGATTAGGTTTCGCCATTTAGTCCTATACATACATACAGGGGTAGCGATTTATTTTCATGACCGGGGGACGAAATGCGAGGGACGAGGGAGCAGTGGCGTAATGAGAAAAAAACGTTTTGGGTACAGAAAAATATCCACATCAGCACCACTCTTACATGTTACGCAGGCCCTGGGAACGTTTTTCAAAGTGGGGGGTGTGGGGGGGGAGGGCTAAATTTTTTACGATCAGGTAGAGCAAAGCAAAGCAAAATTGGGGTGGGGTACAGGGCAAAGCCCCATGAAGGGGTTTTAGGCATTTATTTAGGTCAGATGAGCATATTTTGATACCTTATTTGTGACACTGATATGCAGGTCACTAATTGGAGTGGGGGCCAGGGGCGGAGCCCCCTTAAGCTCAGTCATTTATGGCATTTAATCGCGGTCATATGAGCAACAAGGGGCCCGCCTTCGGGCCTTGGTGGTGTCCAGGGGGCAGAGTCCTGGAAGCTCAGGGAAAAATCATGCCATTTCAGGAACATTTGTAAATCACTGGTATCGAATTATAAATAAACCACATTTGAATTTCATTTTGGGTGGACTGCCCCCCCCCCCAAGTCCTCCCCCCAACCCCAATCAGTATGCAAGTGCGAGGGAGCAATGGTGAAGGTGACGGAAGTGGATACCCTCCGCACAGGTTTTTGAAATTTTGTTGTATTACAAATTTACAGTCCTTAGCAAAACTACATTATAAGAACAAGCAATATACTTTTTTTTTACACTTAACTTTTTTGGGTATTTACTTGTACATTTTGAAGGATATTATGCGAGGTAGCGTAGCTGCCGAGTGAGAAAATTTTTTGCATTTTTATTTGTCTAAACGCTTCACTCTTGGGCCCTCCAGAGCCTAAAAGTGTGTTGCAGTCTTTAGTCAGTATTTGCTATACATTTTTTTTTGTTGCACTTTTTCAAATTTGAGGGGGAGGGGGGGGGGGGACGATCCCCCCTAAAATAAAATGAGGGGACGTGTCCCCCCCCCCCGTCCCCCGGGATCGCCGCCCCTGCATACATACATACATTACATACATATTGATATTTACAAATTATAGCGCCTTTATATAAACATGTCAAAGCGCTTTACATTTAATAGTAAATAAATCAAAATGATTATTTTGCTCATTCTAGAAATCATTCTAGATATCATTTGAGAAATTTCACATGAAAATAGCTGTACTTCAAATCACGTCATAATATTTCAAACATAAATGGAAATATTGTATTCAAATCAAAATTTGATGCCTTATGAACATGTAGTCCCGTTGTGCAGAGATACCCTGCGCAATTTTCAACAAATTAATTGTTATTATTTTTGTATGATTTACCAATAGCTCTATAAAGGAAATTCGATAAACTACATAATCGACGTTTCTCAACTACTTCTCGTTATTTTGTTTCTTCCACTATGTAATCGCATGACCAGCATTCAACTTTACATGCACTTTAATGTATTCTAAAAGTTCACGATATGCCGTCAACTCCCAGACATTGTTGTTAAAATCATCGATCGGCCCGGTGTTCTCGACTGCTTCGAAGTGAATAAAATCTTGCAGTATAGGGGGCAAGTGTGAACATCCGTTTATGAATACCAACAAAAATCAATAACATTAACTGGTAAATCGAATTGTTAAAGAAGATAAGGAAATGGTATATACAAAGAGAAACGAAAGTGCTATCAAAGCTAAAATGTAACTTCCATCGTCACATTATTTGACATGATATCATAAGATGAAAACAAATATTACGAAACGTTTTTTTTTTTTTAAATTTAATTCGTTTACATTCCAGTGTGATTTTTTTTTCCGAGCATATTCTTATATTGATTCTGATTCATGTATGCTAATGCAATTAATACCTGACTTGACAATGCAATTTTGGCATTATATACTACTAGCTAAAAAAAACTCTCAAAACCCGTTATTCGGTGATATGGAGAAAATGTATAAGATACAAATTCCAATCATATTAGTAAACAAAAAATAACACAGGAGTCTACAAATTCGAAGTTATTTCACAGTGTTTTTTTAAGTTCTTATTATACTCATGCACCCGATCGTTTTAATTTTAGTCGTTTATACCACACTGATGTGATTGGTGATTTATATCATGGGTCTAAATTATTATAACACTGGTAGGTGGATGCATGAGGGTCTACGGGGTATGATAGGGGTTGCTCTTCCATTTCCTTTCTCCTCTCTCTCTCTCTCTCTCTCTCTCTCTCTCTCTCTCTCTCTCTATATATATATATATATATATGTATGTAATTATATATCTTTATCTCACTCTCTCTCTCTCTCTCTTTCTCCTCTTGTTGGGACGAAACTGACTTTTCTAAATAATGGGAGTAAAGGTATTGATATGTTTTTAAAGAAATTACAAAATCAAACTCACCAGTCAATCAAACACTCAGAATCGCAACGTGATCTCTCAAAATAAATAAGCACTGGGAAACAAAATGATTATAGTTCAGTGGACTGAAGATCTCGGGTAGAAATTGGTTCGAATCCCCGTGGAGAAAGAGGTAACCAAATTACGCACTAAGTGCCGCTGATAATATCGACAACCGGGATACCGCTCTGCTCTGAACCAAACCTAATAGAACCTAGAAGTTAACCAACGGAACCGACGGAACCGCCCTAAAAGGGCGAGTTTTAATTGGTTATTTTCCGTAACATTAAATGAACTTCACTACCCACCGTATCTTGGACATACAACTTAATCGTGTTTAAATACCAGATTGCGTTTGAGTCGAGTCTACTTGGTAACACATGAAATTAAAATTAGTACATCAGTGATTTTTTGATTTCGTAAACAAATTGAGAAATAGTCACTACACACTCTCTCTCTCTCTCTTTTCTCTCTTTCTCTATACAGTCATGTACACAGTGGCGTACGCAGGATTTTTTCAAGGGGGGTGGTTTTAACAAAAAAAGGGGGGGGGTGGTTAAAAAAAAATACACATATAATACACACTTAACAAAAACTCAAGGGGGGGGGGTTAACCCCAAAAACACCCCCCCCCCCCCTGCGTACGCGCCTGCATGTACATATATCTTTATCTCTATGTGTGTCTCTTTTCTTTCCTTTCTCTCTCTCTCTCTCTCTCTCTCTCTCTCTCTCTCTCTCTCTCTCTCCCTCACGGCCCCTCTTTGTCGATCCTCTCTTTCTTCCATTCTTTTGTGTCCTTTCATTGGGAAAGTTTAAATGCTCCTGCTACAGAACCCAACCGACACCCTACGAGGCCGACAATGTCGGTCTCGCGGTCTCCCGAAATGTATGTGAGGGCTCACTAGACCAAAGACCAACGGAACCGACAGACCACGAATTCGACATGTCGGTCTCGTGGGATATCGGTCCCTGGGAGCCGTCGGTCTCATCGGCAGTCCAGCATGCCCGTTCGCGGACCTTTTAACAGCTTTTCTTAGTGTTTACTAGACCGACAATGGCGGTCTGGTGAGATGTCGGTCTGGTGTGCAGTCAGTCTCAGCGCTACTCGGATACCCAGATAACTCCGTGCCACGGGTTAAAAAATCAAAATGTTCAGCACCCAGCGAAAAGCAGTCATACAATGGCCTTTACCCTAAAAGTGCTTGATAGAACATAAATAAAATGAAATAAATGGAGAGAAAAATACAGACAGTGCTGTTGCTACGGAGAAGCGTCGGCTGTAGATATTTTTAAAATTTAGTATCCATTTTTATTTTCAGTCATTTGAAAGATGAACTTAAAGCGGAAGACAGTGCTGTCGACTACAGGTGTTCCCAGCTTCTAAATGAATGTCGTTGTACCGACGAGTGTTATCTTTCATATTGAACGAGTGGATGATAAATCCGCCGTTGACACGTTTTTACGACACATCGGCAACTATTGCCATGGAAACTATTCGCAGCTTTGGAGTGCTTTGCGTTCGG